TTGTTTCTCTGGATAATCAGTGAAACGCAACTTCAATAATTGTTATTAAAAACATTTACAGCAAAATGTTTTTCTTAATAAATAAATAAATAAATGAGATCTTCTTCATATAGTATTTATTGTCTAAGTGTCAAATTGTCACCCTGTATGTCCGACGTGGCCTAAATGGAAACATCACTGTCGGGCAGTTTCGCCCGAAGCGACATGCAAATGGTTTCTAAAAATTTCATTTATTCGACATGACTTCACAAAATCATCTATTACTCCGTTAATATTTCATATATTTCAATGTAAAAATAAAACTATTCTGAATCAGAATTTAATGCTCTTCAAGATGAAACAAGTTTCATTCCAATATTTGGAACAGTTCTGAGATATGAGCTTCCAAAGTTGAAACTTTGAGTCAGATTTCCATAGAGCTCCTTTGATTCTACATCAAAAATTATTTTTTCGAGTTTTTCAAATTTCTGACTTCACCAGTGGGAAATAAGGTCAAATTTGGTAGAAAAAGATTGTGACAACTCTATGTTAAAGGTTTCAAGGCTTGAAACAAATTGAAAACACTTATTGGTCTCTAAAAATTTCATTTATTCGATATGATTTCACAAAATCATCTATTACTCGGATTAATATTCCATATATTTCAATGTTAGAATAACTATTCTAAATCAGAATTTGATGCTCTTCAAGATGCAACAAATTTTATTCCAATATTTAAAACGGTTCTGAAGATATGAGCCTCCAAAGTTGAAACTTTGAGTCAGATTTCTATAGAGTTCCTTTGGTCTTACATCAAAAATTATTTCTTTGAGTTTTTCAAATTTCTGACTCAGCCAGAAAAATAAGGTCAAATTTAGTAGAAAAACATTGTGACAACTCTATGTTAAAGGTTCCAAGGCTTAAAATATATTGAAAACACTTATTGATGTACGTTATTGACTGCGGCTTTCCAAAAGTGCACCCAACACATCCATGAGTGTCTCAAAAAAATTGAAAACTTTCAAATTGCCTGTTTGAAAAATACAGCTACATAACTGGATAGCTATACTATCTTTATTAAAGAGTATTATTGTGTAATGCACCTGTAGATTTTCAGCTGAAAATGTTTAGTGGACTTCCACTAGCAATTTACCCCAAGGTGTTAATATGGGTACGTTGTGTTGGGTTAGTTCGGTTGTTGCTAGTGGTAGTGGCTTATTGAAATTTACAATAATTAAGACTTAAGACCCAAAAACATCTTTGGATAATTTCCAGTGACAGAATAGCTATATGGATTTAAAGTGGCTTAAACAGCAAAATTGTGGACAAATATCAATTTTTTTGGGACACCTCTGCATTTTATTACAACAGTATCTACATCCAGCATACAGCGTTCTATTCCAACAATACCTACATACTACATAACCAGAACCCAGCATTCTATCTCACAACAGTGGATCATTCATCCTTCACACAAGCTCATCTATACTTTCTTCATTAACGCACTTTTGGAAAGCCAAATCAAAAAAAGAAAATTAATGATGAAAATAGATACTGGAAAACTAATTTTTGGACACTTTGTATATTTTACTAATTGCCAATAGTTATAGAGAATCAAATGAATTACAATTTAAATTAAAAAAAATAAGTTGGATTGTTCGAAATTCAGACATTAGAAAAATCAAGGGTTGTTTATTCAAGATTCAATAAATCCCAAACCAAAAAATAATTGTTGGTACTACTTACCAAAATCCAGAAGTCAATTGGTACACTATATGGGCACACGACACAATAATCTAAGCTTGTGTAAAAAAAAATCGATAATTCTCGGACGCAACTGACGGTGCTTCTTCTCCGACTAAATCCGAATAAATTTAAATCCCTTTGTCCGACAAAAACCCCCACAAAAAAAGGTAAACAGATAACGTAATAAATATGAATAAGTTAGGAGCAAAAAAAATTAACTACGTGATAGAATACAAGGTGGGCCAATGAAAACTTTCCACCCCGATTTTATGGACTTGAAATGAAAATCTGGAAAAACGCTCAGACACGTCAGTTTTTTATTTGAGGGGGACCCATTTTTGAGTTTTTATCACCCCTGTAGCTTCAACCCTCTAGCTGGGGGAGCGCAACCCCCCAAATATGAATAGGGGATAGGGGTCGTGTCATACCTCTTTTTAAAGGTCTATGACCCTAGAATTTCGTCTCATTATTTTTATTCATGACTGTTTCGTCCACTCAATAGTTTTGCTAAGATTTTCCTTCATTGAATTATTTCTGTTTTGTTTATTTTGCCAATTATTTATTGAAGTACCTACATTACTTTGAATTTGGAGTAAACTTTTAGTCCACGATTCACCCTTCAGATTATTTTCGCGTTCTTGAATATTTGAGGTCTTTATCTACTTAACGCATTGCCCTCATACAGGGTGTCCCAGCTAAAACGAAACAGAGGAGTTTTTGCATATTTTGAATTATTTAAATGAAAAACACTCGGACACGTCGATTTTTGCATGAAAGGGGACAACTTTCAAATTCATCTTTAATGACCTACCTGTCATCCCTTAGCGGGGGCGCGTTCAACCCCTAAAAATTAAATAGGGAAAGTGGGTCGACTGACCCCTCAATAATAAGCTCTTCAAATTCTCCTTTCAATGGTACCACATTTATTGACATTTATGTCAAAAAATTTGACAATGACGGGTCCCACCCAAAACGAAACAAGGCAATTTAAAGGCATTTCTCGTTTTAAAAGTAAAAAAACGGCTAACACGTGACTCCACAACTCGCCGCTGTAAACTGGATTAGGTAAGATCTCAATTGTACTCGTAATTTTGAAACCGCAAAATACAGTCCACTTTTCTCACAGCTGATGCTCAGCTATAGACTAGATTTTTTAGCAGTTAATGTTGAGAACACCTTTTTTTACGAAAAAAATCATCAAATTAGAATAATTTGTTCTTAACAATAAAATAACTTATTTGGTCCACATACCTATAATGTACCCTGAACCTTTCGATTATTTCCACCTTTATTCAATACCAATCAAAAGTCAAAGTCAGTTTAAGGTAGTCTTTCCACAAAATATATAGGTATCTTTTAAAAAACGGATTGCACTACGCACATTATGGCCAAGAATGGCAGGAAATCCTTCCTGAATTTCACCTATGCGAAAAAAAGAACTCCAAGAACTTCAAGACCGCAGCCCATGTGAAATACAGCTAGTGTGCTCTGAAAAAGACACTTCTATCTGCAAGCCAACCGAAGTCAAAATCACACAACAAATAATCAATGGATTGGACAAATCCAATCAATGGGTATTCGTCCTTCCGGCTACCTATAGAACGCAAGTGCTTTGGACAGGAAGAAATCAGAAAAGTTATTGGAACCTTTCTAGTCCATATACCAATCAGTTGCCAAATAACTATCTCTTCGAGACAGATAATCAACGGAAGGAATAAGCTTCTAAAATCCGATGCCCAACCTATACTATTTCCCGACCTGCCAAATGTACCTGAATTAGGGCGGGTATTATAAAACTGCTTTGACAGTTAACTTGAAGTTAACTTTTTGAATTGCATGTAATTCCAGAATTTAACTTTAAGTTAACTCTCAAAGTAGTTTTATAATACCCACCCTTAATGCATTCCCTAAATTAAGGTACACACTTGACAAACACAAAATTGGACAATCTCCACCAGCTAGCTTACGAGATCGTAGAGAACCGTTTGATATTTAATGAAATCAGAAGACTACCTAGTTTGGAAACCATTCTGATTTATGCTATATTCTTGCTGGGTGTGCTGTTCTTGCCTATAAGAAACTAGCACCGAAGTTCAAGAACTGAAGAAGGGACAACCACCTTGAAGAAGAAGCCCAACCAATCCAACTTTCCCGCCTAGCATGAAGTTGCATCCTAAAGAAGGGGGAAGTAATGTCAGCCCTCTTCGCCTATAATAGTTGAATTAGCGTTTCGTAAAAACCAAACTACAAAAAAACTGCTCCAGATATCGAGATGAACTAATTAAATTTAAACGAAGGATTATACAACCAGCCTACAAAAGCGTTTTTTTGATATATTAAATATTTATTATAGAAAAATATTGCTGAAGATCGCCTTTTTTTGCTCTTTTTTGAACACAAATATGAGCGATGGATTTTTTTTTCTTTGAAAAATCGCTCTGTAGGCTGGTAGGTTGAACCCTTGTATTAGTTTTTGTTCCAAAAATGAAGTCTGTTATTGCTTTATTGACTCCGTAGTTTGAGCTTTCGTGAGCACTGATTTGATGCATTTTTGACTAAAATTATTTAATGCAGGGTTAAAACGATTTATTGTAGTTTAATTTTGTGTTTCATAAGCTTTTTAATGGATGTCGCAATTGTCTAGCTTTTCTTGAACTTTCGTCTCGCGGTCTGTGACTAAATAGCTTTTTGCCTGTAGTGGAGCCCTAACGCGTAACGCGAAAGTACTGTAGGTATTGTAAATAAGTGAATAAAATGTTTTTTAAAAACTCGTTATCGGCTTAAGAATTGATAACTTGTGTCATTCACTGAGATACTTACAGGGTAAGAATCTGCGGAACGCTATACAATTCGAATATACATATATTTTTTATTCACAGGTACAAATTCGTTTTCCGAGTAATTAAAACCTTGTTGGGGAGCTTTCATATTCTTCATAGCTTTGTCTAAGGTTTTATATTTTATGGGAGAGGACTCAATTGCTTTTGGTGAATTGACATTACCTACGTTACCTAAAAATTTCAGAAAATTTTTGCAGCTTGCGCCACAAATTCGCAATAATAGTTCCAAGAACAATCAGAAACAATACAATACGTTTAATGTTTAATTAGAAAATGCCATAAAAATGGTGATTCAGTAAATGCGCTTATCGCATAAACAGGCGAGCTTAGGTAGGTATGGGCAGTTTTCAGTATTCGGTAATTTAGTCACACTTTAACACTAGACTAATCCGCACAATATTATATGGTTTTCTGTTTGATTTTTTAGGATCCAAAATGAAGACATTAGTGATGACCATCATGATAATTTTGTTTTTAACCGTTACTATATTAGCTGCACCATATTGGACTAATGAAGTGCAAGGTAACTATTTACTAAGTACATAACATTATCGTTTATTTTTTGAAATTATTAAGTAGGTAGAAGACTAAAGTACACCACTCAAGAAGAAACTCCCGGTATTAATTATAAATATCTACTTATAAAAAACGAAACAGAGAAGAAGTGGTGGTGGATGAGAGATCCTCCATCATCATGGACTGTACGAGAGACGATATATCCATGATGAATGTACGTTCTTAATGCACTGATGAAGACAAATAGTATTTATTGCTGATGTTTATTGTAGTTTAAAAATGAAATATATTGTTTAATTGTGTTTGTTGTGTTTTATGAACTGTATTAATTATAATTTTGATATAGGTACATGTTGGTTGCATTTTCCTAACAGTGTAACGAATCTTAGGGCGGGTATTATAAAACTGCTTTGAGAGTTACCTTAAAGTTAACTTCTGGAATTACATGTAATTCATAAAGTTAACTTCAAGTTAACTGTCAAAGCAGTTTTGTAATACCCGCCCTTAATCAAACTAGTTTTTGTTTTTTTTTGTCAGTTCTTCCAAGAAAAAGGTTACTAGTGGGATGGGTATCGAAAGCGAATGCTTACTGCTATTGCCGTTCCAAATGTGAAGTGCTTGTTATGTATAAATATACCTAATTATAGGTCGAAGACGTTCTAGGTTCTACGTCTTCCGATTTCCGATCTCCAACCTTCTCTATCAATCCAGGCATCCTTGTTTGAGCCTCTGTCTCTCATTTCTTCATCTACTACACTTTTCCAGCTTTTTCTACCGCATCTTCTTCTTTCCCCTGGTTTCCACTCAATAATTTGCTCGGGTATTCTATTATCGTATCTGCCTTTCTTCGTACTTTTCCAACATATCCAAACCCGAATCAAATCAGTTGTTTGTTTTTGATATCATCAACTCGTGTATCTTACATTCATAATATCTCTAATTCTCTAGGTTGTTATAATTTCCATTTTTGACCTGCCTGCCGCTCTCCTCCGGATGTCCATTCAAGTGCTTCCAGCAATTTTGCGGTTCTGTCCTTTATTAGTGGCCAGACCTCTGCTGTGTGACAAAGTGACAATAGGTCTGTTTCTGCAGAAATCACAAACCAGTCAGAGTGAATTTCATTGGTTAAAACTAGTTTTCTGACTGTTTCTGACTGTTTTCAACCAATGAAATTCGCTCTGACTGGTTTGTAATTTCTGCAGAAACAGACCTAATGATTTTGAAGATGGTATATTCTCTAGTTTTGCTGATATTTTGTTACAACAGCAGACCGCCACTCGATTTATAGGCCTCTGTTACCTTCCGTCCTTGTATATTACCATCCTTGGCTGAGTTCGGCTTTACACTCTGTCAACTCTGAGCGCGCTCGAAACGATTAGATCCTGTTCGTTTTAGCTCTCAGAGTTTTCTCTTTTGCGTTGGGCTTATGACCGCGTATGACGTCACGATATCCATGCTCATACCGTTCCGCTCCGTGGAGTGCAAAGCCGAACTCAGCCAATATTTCCTTGTATAAAAAAGGGTGGCAGCCTGCCAAGGATACTATACTACTAATGGCGTTTTCCACTTGTTGCACGGAGGTGCACTCAGTGCAATTTTTACATTCTATTTGACTGCACATTATCAGTTTTTATTTTCCATTTGAAATCCAGTGCAATTATGTATGCACTCAGTGCGCATTTTTTGGCACGAGCTAGAATGGCTCGTGAAGGGCCAGTGCAGTTTGTTTTGTTTTTGTTTACATGTACCGTACATGAAAATTTGAAAAATGTCTGCTAATATATTTTCGAGAATATTTCCAAAGAAAAAGTTGTTGCACCTTTGGATTATGTAGCATCAGCGAAGATGACGAAATTATATAGGGTGTCCTAATGAAAAAAATCGGATTTTGGTCAATATCTCGAAATCGAAGCCAAACAGAAAAAAAACTGAGAACGACACTGAATTCTGCTTGAAAAAGTGCTTCCAAAAGGTCTTTACGGAAATGAGTTATTTTCATAAACAAAAAAGTTATGGAGGCTTTACAGTATTCCTCAAAATCGAGAATCGCCCTCTAGCGGCTAAACGGTTGAAGATATCAAAATGCGGTTTGCACCAATCAAGATTCATTGAAATTTGAGCCTCAGAGTGGGGGGTCCATTTTTTTCTATCTCTAAAGATAAAGGGTGTTTCCATAAGAAAGTGTCCAATATGGCCCACCCTGTACACACTTAAGCACTTTTAATAGTGCCTTCGTTCCTCACGAAGTTTTCCCCTTTATTTTTTTAAAAATCGGAAAATCCAGGAATTAAAATTTCAGGTCTTACAATTTTCACCAATCGACAAACTTTTTTATTTTTGCAAATGTTTGTATACATACAGCGAAGCAAATGATGCCAAAACATGACAAAAGTTTTTGAAATTATTAGTTTTTACCCAATATCTATCGTTTGGCAAGAGCGAATTTTCAATTGCGGGCCAAAATAATGTATCGCGTACGCTCGCGCGATAGCTAGACAACTCGACTACTATCTGTGCTATTGGCGGGATTAGGAAATTAAAAAATCTTGTTGCTGTCTCATCGAAATTCAATTTCAAACTCTGCTTTCGATGTTCTTAAAAAAAACAATGCAGTTCTTCAAGAAATGCCTGAATTGTCACTGCAGTCACATGACAAAGCATTAGAAATCGCTAAACAATTGGTTCTTCTACTCTACAAAAACAAAGATAAACAAATACAGTAACTAAATGACCTGAAGATAAAACTAGCAACAACTACAAACAAACCATCCTCGGAGCTTCCTCCAACCGAACGCGCTTTTTATCAGCACTTTTTAAGGTAAAAATGGATTTATAGTTAGAGATGTATCAAGGTAATTATGAGGGTGGTTGAAACCCCAGGGCAAATGTGGGCCCGAGGGACAGCAATTACCCGTGGATATTAACACCTGATAATTTCCGTGGTACATAGATAATTTTATTTCCTACTGAATTTACTATATTTTGCTTATTTTTATAAAGGAATAAACCATAAACCAAAATTTCAATTTTTATTTCTCAAAGTTTTACCATCGGAGGTAAAAGAGGGAGTTATGAAATAATTAATCACCGCGCGAGAGTTGAGACACTATTTATGATTATGGTAACCAAGATATACTATATGGTTAGTAATAGTTCAATAGGATATAAGACAATTCATTTCCTATAATTAGTAGCTATATTCTATAATTTTCTGCAGCTGTATGTTCAACTTGAAACATGGTACAGTAGCAGTAAGCCAACACCACTTATAAATGCAGAAGGTTCAGGATGGAATTTATCTGACGAGGTTTGAACTCAAATATTTTCCAATGACAAGCCAATTCCTGATTTTGATCGACAATCATTATACAGGGCTCTCATTTCAAAACTTGCCACGTTATTTGCGTAAAGAGGCATATTCGTGGAAATCGCCAAAACAAAGCAGGTGTGTTTAAAAATAAATAGGCATTTTTGAGCAACACTGAGGTCAAGTTCAAAAAATGGAACGGCAAATTCTACAGAGATTAAACAGCCCTTCCAAATGATCTATCACTCGACCCCCTGTCTCATTTAGAAATTTTGGGGTGGTGTGGTAGCGTAGCCCTGGAGGTTAAAGAGTTGGAGGAAGGGATTTTTCACGTGAAAACCCCCCCCCCTTCCCCAATAAATATGTTGACGTGTTTCGGTGTTTTCCACGAATATGCCTTTTTACGCAGATAACGTGGATGGCAAGTTTTGAAATGAAAGCCCTGTATATTTATTCCTCAGATAAAAATGGTGAAAATCGAAAATGTGCTTGCCTGCAAGAAGGTCTAAAATGTTGTAACGAGTGTAAATGTCGTTCTTGTAATAACACTATTAAAGATTTTGAAGAAGAGGAAAATGATGAACAGGAATGTTTTTAATGTCGAAAGTTAGGGCCACATTTTGTTAAAATATAAATATATTTTAGAGAAATAAAAGGTATTATATCCATAAAAATATATGATACCCTACCAAATGGTCATAAGGTCTTATGAGTATTGTACTCTTCTATCTCTGAGTAAATGCGGTATAATACTGTCTCGCGATGGCTTTCGCTCGCGTTAGATTATTTTAGCGCACAAATAAAAAATCGCTGTGGCCAAATATAATGGGTAGAAACTAATAATTTCAAAAACTTTTGTCATGCATGTTTTGGCATCATTTGCTTCGCTGTAGGTATACAAAAAATTTCAAAAATAAAAAAGTTTGTCGATTGGTGAAAATTGTAAGACCTGAAATTGTAATTCCTGGATTTTCCGATTTTTAAAAAAATAAAGGGGAACAACCTCGTGAGGAACGAAGGCACTATTAAAAGCGGTTAAGTGTGTAGGTACTTTAATTTTAAAAAAATTTACTTCGATAACTTGATTGATTTTGAAGATATGACGGTGGAAACAAAAAAAAAACACATTTTATCAAAAATATATTTTTTTTTTACTTTTTTTGTCATAAAAAAGTTCGAGACCACGGGAAAATGTCTGGAATTTAGATTTCGTATGCCCAGTGACATGCTTAACAAAACCTACCAGGTTTGATTTGGTTCTACGCCAAAAAAAAAAAAACGACGAGATACGGCTTCCAGATCGCTCCTCTACATTTGTTAAAAAGAAAACCGTCTTCCGGCGGCAAGGTGTTCTCACAATATGAGAATTGAGAAAGCCGCCGAAAATATGACCTGATTTGTTGATTAGGGCGGCATGCTATTAGTATATTGATAACTGCCGCTGGACGACGGTCTACTGTGTTTGAAGTAGAAGTATTGAATGCCGTCGAAAAAATTAACATAACCTTTCCCCTTCCTTATTTCTGCCATTTCCATGTGAATTTTCACTTCTTGAATATTCAGTAGTACCTAATAGTTAATTATTGGACTGTTATCTTGAGTAATTGTGATCGAGTGTAGCTAGGATAGCTTTGTTGTTAATTAAATCAAAATTTCGAAACAGTGGCTCAGGATGATGATTGATGAAACTCACATTCCAGAAATGGGACGAAACGATGAAATTACCATTAGAAGATGATATACCAATTAGGATATACAATAAAGATCCTAATATTTTCACAAACTGTGAAACTGAAATATTTGATGATGTTGTTTCAAGAGAAGAAAATGGCCTTTCCGTATCTTTCACAAGCACCACATCAGTGTTATTAATCTGATGTGGTAGAATAGCTGGCACATACCATCGGTATTCAATGTTTTAAATACACTAGACCGTCGCCC